GGGGGGGGGATGGGGCTATATACTGAGAGGTAATGCTCACTATGATTCATTTTATATGATATAGTTACTATTTAAAATACCAAACATTTTGTTGCCTGACTTTGTTTTTTGAACATAAAAATCTACTGAACTTTAATGTAGTTTCTAACTGTAAAAACTTTATTTCCAAAAAAAAAAAAAAAAAAAAAAAAAAATTAACGAACTAATGTCAAAATCCACGATGAACCTTTTACTCTTTTTTGGATGGAAGAAGTACTACTTGTCAATATAAATGATATATGCTTCCTTTCCTTCAAATTTGATGTTAAAGCTAAAAAGTCAGTTCGGAGTATCTTTTTCGTGAATGCTGTACAATATGTTTGTTTAGCTGCATCTGTTCGACTGATTTGGTTATGGTCTTACGGGCAAGCTTGTTTGCTAAATCACCACTTTGAACATGAACTAAACTTGCAAAGCAAATCAGAATTTCAATGAATTAACTCATAATAAAACCTTGTTACTTCAGTAAACCAATTGTTTATCATGCTCATCCTTCATAGTTTTGTCTTTTTATTTGCCATGTTGTGTCTTCATGGTTTATATAGCTCTCTTTTCATAATATAACATCCTTTAGACTGCTTCTGAGATCAATCTACCCTAAATTCCCAATCTTAATAAATATGGGTAGAAGGGTAGGCTGTGTTCAGTGTAACATTCATTGAGCTTCTTTCTGTTGAAGGTATTTCCCAGCTCATCGCCTGAATATAAAAAATGTGGCAGCTGTATGAAGGATGGAAAGAGATTCTGAAGATCCAAAAGTTCCGGAGAATTGTGTCCTATACTGGATTCTATTGTTTCACTGCGCTCATCACATATGCATACACCAACAATACGTGAGTGTTTTATGAGTTTCTTATTACTTATATCTAATTGCAATAAGAAGTTGAACTCATAGCTTTCTGGTTTTCAGGGAAGTGGTAAATAGGTTTGAGCTTTTGATCATTGTAACCCTGTATAGCTGGTTATAATCATCTTTTGCAGATCTTCTTTATTAATATGCTAAGATATAACTTGACTTGAAAGCATCTTTGTACAAACCTCTGGCGTTCACATAGCTGTTCTCAGAGATATGTTGTTTCTAATCACTATGTGGTTTTGGGTATTGCAGGACTAGAGCGGGGCACTCAAGAGATGACCAATTCTATGCTTCTTATCCGGCTGGAACAGAGCTCCTTACTGACACAGCTAAGGTCTATGTCGTTTTGCATCATATCTAAGGGATTCCTCGATTCGGGCCGAAGAAGTCAGATTTCATGATGATGTGAAAAATTTCACTTATCATGGAGCTCTTTCTGTTTCATTACTGATTTTTGTGGAATTTGTTTTTTCTTTTTTCATTCTTAGTTATATAAAGCAGCATTGGGCAATGTTTTTGAAGAGGAAGAATGGGGACCAATCGAATGGTGCGTCCTGGCTAAACATTTTGAACGACAAGGGAAATCACCATATGCATATCATTCTGTAAGTTAATGATATCGTAATTATGCTATTCCCAAATTTACATTTTATACTAGTTTGTGATGCCTTATTTATTTTATACTTAATGCCATAGCAATGTCTCTTCCTTTCATGCATAGTGCAAAATCCCTTATTTTGAGGCTGCTAGTTCCAGCATGTAAATTGTTCATGTGCTAGATTTCTATAAGACATTAGAGAAGGGGTGTTGCAAACTGCTAATATCTATAAGGTCTAGGATGTTTGAAACCCGCACTTTTGTATTTCTTAAGATATAGGTGAGGAAAAATTCTTGGTGATTTTTTCCCTTCTTCCTAAGCCTTTGTGTGCATAGTTACTGTACTGGTGGGAGGTAGCATGTACCCGGTGAAATAATTGAGGTGCACGCAAGCTGATCCATACACCATTGTCATAAATAAAGAAAAGGAGAATGAAACTTATGATCCCGGCTTATCAAATTAAAAAGAAGATGCACTAAGATGACCCATTAAGTGTAGTCATAGACTAAAATCCTTATAGCTCGTCATGTATTCCACATTGGAATCTAGGAAGTTACATAATGACGTGAACTAATCCTCTAATCTTATTTTTTTCATTTGCATGATTGTCCAGCAATACATGGCACACCTCGTTTCTCATGGACAGCTAGATGGAAGTGGCTAACGAGAGCGCAATAGCAGCAAACACCTCCTTTACTGACGAGTCAACACCTCTCATCTACATCTTGAGCAACCTTAAATCAATGCTAGAAGTAAATTTATGCAGCTGCGGCTTTGTTAGTAACTTCTTACGTCCTGACATTTATTGGCTTTACGGAACACATTTTATACAATCCAACGATGCTGAAAATGTTATACTAACCTCTTAGTGTAAGCTTATTTCAAATCAATATGATGAGTGGGGAGTGGGAGTATTTGAATAAATACTCTTAAATAAAAATTCATATTAGCGAACATTTTTGTAATTGAAACTTCCACAATTTGTGCTCCTTTTATAAATTGAGGGTGGTTATTCCTATAGTGTATCAATGTTAAAGTCTATTTGGTTAAAGTTTGTAGAAGTTGTGTTTGTCTTTACAACTGAACGATGTACATATATATGGCCTTAACGTCTGGTCAATATCATCAATCCAAAGTTTTCTCTGTCTGAGCTTTAGTGTACGTAGCTTCAGTTCTCTTCGAGAGCAAGAGAGTCAATTCTAGCTCCCAGTAGTTTCCTTGAAGTTAGAGAGTGAATCAGAGGCGGTCGGGATTTGAACTTTATGAGTTTTAAATTCTATGATAGCAACATAAGGTGTTAGTAATTGGGTTCTGAATTTTATTTTTGTACATATTTTAAGTGAATTTTTTAATATATATAGAGTTTGGACAAAAATTATTGGGTTTGACCAAACCCGTACTTCGGCTGACATTTCCGTGGAGTTAAACTTGGTGTTACAGTTGGACGTAGTTCCCAATTTTGTTTTATTAACCATGAAAAACCTACTGCAGGATGTTAGTCTGCAGCCTCGCGAGTCGCGACTTTACTCCACCTAATTAATTATGAATCCAATGTTTCTCAAGTATAGTTCTCTTCTGTATTCTTTGTTATGTGAGTGGGAAACTCTATCTTTTAACAATATTTCAAAAACGGAGAAATATATTAATCTATGCTCTATTTTGTTATGTTGGACTGACGTTTTTTATCTAAACCTTTGAACTAATCAAGGTCTGAATCTACACTATAAACTGGTTCAGTTTGACCAACTATTCAAGAAAATAAGTCATAGAAACATAAAAAAGAGATGCCCTATCAGTGACTTCTGGAATAGTCTCATGGACGTGGTAGAAGGTGAAAATCTACCGTTGTTTGAAAACATTGGATTAAGACATTAAAAGAGTCTTTGGTATGATATAAAGTCATTTCTCATCGAAATATTTTTTGATGTTTGGTTAGCAAATTGAGAAATATTATTTTAGAACTAAAAGTAAAAATAATGTCCAATTGTCAGTTGAAGCAAGTAATATGGAGTTAAAAATTATAGTTGTAAGGAAAATAACTTTCCCCGTAAGTGAGGGAATTCAATTTGCCATTTTAAATGAAAAATATTTTCTATGAAAGAAAATGACTTCTGTCATACTAAATACATAAACATGTAATTTTTTAGTTCTCGAAGATTTAAATCCCATGCATGATTACTACAGTTCATCACTTTAAGTAAGCTATATTACTAAAGGAAGTGGTCTTATATTCTTGTTTTAAAATTCTCGCATTTGTCGTGGAAGCTATTGAGGAATTGTGGTTCTCTGTTTTATTTACTCAGGATAATAAATTGAAAACTATATGTCCATTGAGCTCATTTTACATAACACAAGTAGCATTAAAAAAATTGATTAGCCAATGTAGGAGTTGAAATGTGATGATAATTTAATGGTTTCACCAAAAAATCAGTATTAGGTAAGATATATACGATCACATTATATATTTGTACACTATAAATTAAATATAAATGTTATCTAAGTAACTTAACTAAATTTGATCATTTATGCCGAGGTTCAAGTGATATACAATAATTGTATGCCAATACTACTATTGGTCCTAGGGGAGGGTACTTAAGGGGATGGTAAGGGTACTTAGGGATACTTTTAAATTAAAATTTAAAAAAAAAAAATTAAATACACACCATCTTTACGGGGTGAAAAAAATTCAAGGCTATGAAGTTCCTTTTATTTTATTTAATGCAATAGAAATATTAGATTTCTAATACAAGTGATAAGTATTTATTTGTATTTCAATATTTATAAAAATAAAATTACATATTTCTTTTGAATGGTTTACGGAATTTTCAATAATTTTAATGATTTTTCACTTGAAATTGATAGCACTTATTCTTCTATGTCCTCGTTGTGTCCGGTAGATAATATTTCATTATAGGCATCATCGTCTTCTTGAATTATTTTTGGAAGGCCAAAGTTTCTTCTCTCCGCTTTAATCCAATATTTCAGCAAGTCTTCATTTCCTTCATCATTGCAAACATCATTTCTAACAGTTGTTCTAGGAAAACCTTCAAAAATAGAAATATACGTTTCAATAAACCCAAACTGATAAGGATTTGCTTCAAAACCGGGACCCCCCCTCCTTAGTATTACCCTCAGTCAATCTATTAAACACTTTTTTTACCAGTTTAGAAGCCATTTTTACTAATAAATAATTAAAATAACAACACTTATAACAAAATAAATGCAAAATAAAGCTAGAATGTTAATTGCAATTAGAGAGACAGAGAGATAGAGAATTAGAGAGATAGGAGAGTTTTGTGTGAAAATTAAAAAAATGAAATGGGATATTTATAGTTTTAAAATAGGTCAAAGGTATATTTAGTAAAGTTTCGGGTTAAAAATATAAATTAGGGGGTTGGGGGTGTTAGGAGGTTGGGGAGGCAAAAATAGTCGTTTTTGGTTATTGCCAACGACTATTTTTTAAAAATAATCGTTGGCAAACGGTAAAAAACGGCTACATTTAAAATATAATGAAAACATTCTAGGTACCGGTTTGGTACCGATGCGGTACCTTAAGGGTACCAACCAGACCGGTTTTACTGGTACTTTTTCCGGTACCTCACATTCCCCGTTCCCTTTGCCTAAATCCCCCACCCCTATCCTCCAATCGACCAGGACGGACTGATACCGGTACGAATCGGATTCCGGGTACTCCCCTCCCCATAGACAGCCCTAGCCACTAATAGGAGGATGACAAAAAGAAATTTTGACAACATAAAGATTCTTTTAAATTATTAGTGAGTTTTAATATGTAATTGCATGTTAGTTATTATTTTTATTAAATTATAATTAATATTATAAAAGATTTACATATAATTACCAATCAAGTAAGTCGATTGTGTAATATCTTATACATTCTGGGCAGTGCTTATGTCGAGTTAATTTAATTCATTCTGTTTTTCTCTCCTTTTTTTTTTTCTTTTTTCCAAAATACCGTTATCACCGCCAAAACTTTGTTAGTTTGTCAGTTAAATATATTCCTTCTCTACAAAACGAACATACCCATAAAGTCAGTTTTCTCTTTATTCTCTCCCACTTCCTCTCTTTTCCGCATTTTTAGTAAGGCATTGCTGTGATAATGGACGACGAACAGAAACAAAATCTGTGAGTTTATACGTTTTTTCCACATTAACTCTTTTTTTTCTCTTCATTTGGGATTAATGTTAGTTTCTTGCTCTGTTTTCTGATCTTTTCTTGGTTTTCAGACATAAGAAGGGAATGCATAATACTGAAGCTAATGTTGATCAGCCAAATATTGGTTAGTCAATAAATGTTAGTAGTTTGAATTTGCTTTAATGGAGACTGGCTATTTAATTTAATTGCTTGAATATGGGGGGAGTTCTGTTTCTTGAAATTTCTCATATATGTTTGCTCAATATGATACATCATGTTCTTCCTGTTAGTTTTGCAAATGAATTGAGGTTATTTTCTTTAATTTCTGCACATGTTCTTGAAAAGTTTGGCCATTATTGTTTTAGAATGATATGCACAACTAAATTGCTTCTTCCTTCAGTAACAATTTGTTTGTCATATTACTGCTTGGAAATTTCCTAAAATATATTTAGAATGGAGGTCTCGCTCAAGAATATCATGTTTTTGGAACGACATGTTTATTTTGATAATTAAACTATAGAATCATGATTAATAATATTATCGGGGATATTGTTTCAGTTATGTATGATCCTCGTGAGGGATTTCTGCCTGTGTGGTGGCATAATGTCTATCGAACTGGCAGCACTAGGCATCCAGAAGAATCCTCTGCTATGGTATTACTTGCGAAAAAATTTCTTAAATTATTTTCATATTTCCACTTGGATTATTTTGAGTTGTATGCAATGTTCTTAATATGTCTTAAGTTATTTTCATGTTAGATAATTGTGATATGGATGCAATGTTGTTAAAAAATTTCAGGCTATACAGAATGTCGCACCTAACAACTGGCTTCCTATGGTCCTAATACTGTGGTATCTAATGTATCTTAAGTTATTTTCATGTTTCCACTTAGATAATTGTGCTGTGGAAGCAATCTCTTGCAGAAATGCAGGGTAAGGTTGCGTACAATAGACCCTTTGTGGTCCGGACCCCGCGCATAGCGGGGAGCTTAGTGCACCGGACTGCTTTGCCACTTAGATAATTGTGAATTGAATCTAGTGTTGTTAATATTTTTAGGCTACACAGACTGTGCAGAATGTGGCACCTTCCTATGGTCCTATGTCAAGAAAATCTGATGCAGGTTTGTTTGCATATTTTACATTTTGATTTTAGAATCCTTTTCTCTTGATATGAAGTCAATTAGAATTTGTATATTTTGACACACCAATACATTAAAATAAAATCTATATTGATTTGCAATGGAGTAAATACATATTGAGCTAGCTAGACTTATTTGAACATAAAAATACCACTTTAAAGATTGAACTACAGACACATTCTTGTCTATCGGAAATAGGCATTCTGTCTTCTTAAGGTAGGGGTAAAGTCTGCGTACACACTACCCTCCCCAAACCCCAGTCGTGGAATTACACTGAGCTTGTTGTTGTTGTTGTCGTCGTTTTATAACAATGTTGGATTTTGGTGATCTATGAAAGTAAAGTACAACTAATATTGTTATCTGTTTAATGGGCAAACTAATAATTAACGGATAGTCTGCTGTTAGGCACTTCCAACCAATCCAGAAATATGCAGACAGAACCAACTGTCAATCCCTCTAGAGACAGTTCTTTTCCTAATCCAAAAACTTCTGATGCAGGTTTGTTTAATTCTTTAACATGCATTTTGTTTCTTATATGAAGGAAGTGAGTCATGAACTGTTTTAGTGGTGAAGTAATACTAACTGAGACGATATTCTTGTTGTTTTTAGGATCTTCTGGCCAATCTAGCTCTTGAATGAAGATTGCTGATCTACCAGTTCACTACCTTGTTACTCAGGATTTATCATTGAATACTTTCTTACGCTTGTAACTGTAGAAGAAAAACTTCCTTAAGCTCTCAGGCCTATGATGACTATACATACACTCTTATATATAATGGATGTATGTACGTACGTGTGTGTGTGTGTGTGTTTTAACCACAAAGAAGAAGGAGATGGTTAATTGCACGTTGAAGTTAACGTACGTTAGTACTAGTCCTATTTTTTATTTCTCCCTTTATTTTTCAGTTGCATCTGGCAGCTGCTGGATGTAGGGCTTCACCAAACACGGTGGCAAAACAACGGTATATTAAGAATTCTGGATTTTTTCAAGTATGTACTGTTTGTCTTGACAAAGATAACAGGTTATTGACATGCTATAATGCCCATTTTTATAACAAATTTCAGATTCAAGCTCAAACCCAAAGCTTCATACTTGTTAATGGTGTTTTTTGAATTTTATCAAAATTAATCACCAAAGTTTTTCAGCATGTTTTAAGCAAATTTTAACTCAACAATAATCACGAATCCAAACTAATTTTCTAGGTCATGGAACACCAAAATCAACAAGACCCGATTAAATTTTCAAGTTTTTCCAAAAGGTCAATAATGATAATTTTTACAAGACTCAATAACTCATTTGTTCTTCTTCTTTTTTTTTTCTTTTTTCTTTTTTTTTTTTTGCTTTTTTGATGAAGTAAATTAGTTTCATTAAAGGGCATCAAGAAGATGCAAAGAATACAAAAGAGATAGGATAATTAGCTCTATTTACAAAAGCCTATGCTACTATCAGGGAGCTAATGAAATCCACAAAAGTATCAGCACTATTAACAGGGATGAGATAGTTCCAGCTAAATAAGTTAACTAAACACGCAACCTTGAGGGAGTAGAGTGGAGTTGATATTGATATGCCATCAAAACATCTTCAGTTCCCTTCTTTCCAAATACACCAAAAAATTGCAGCCACCATTTTCTAGGATGAATTTGTCAACTCTCCAAAAATACCAACTTTCAAAAGTTTGCTTTGTTGATTGTGGCATAAACACATTTGTTCTTCTTCTTATTCTTTTTCTTCTTAGTCATGGGGTTGGGGAGACGAAACAGGAGGGGTAGACAAAACTAGGGTGGGGTTTGGGGTCGGGAAGAAGACATGAGTTATTTTTTTCTTTAATTTGAAAAGGAAATAGTTTAAAAAAAGGGGGAGGAAAAAAAATTAATTTCAGATGAATTTTTTAGCTTTCACGCATCTCTTTTATGTGTAATACACTAGTGTGACACATGGCAAAAGAGGTGTGTAATAGACACTTTTAAAAGTTGTGCATAATATTATTCCCGTATTTTAGAGGTGTGTAAGAGGAATTTGGGAACAAGGTTAATTGGTTAAGTACTTAAGTATGTATTTAGCCAAAATGATACAATATTACAGGCACTGTGCTCGAGTGATATTCAAAGAAAACAGTGTTGGATGTATTTGCCCAACAGCTTGGAATTAACACAAGGATTGCACTTTGGACTATTAATCGGACTTAGCTGATTGAAAATCCAGATTTAATAATCAAAATTTAGTTGATTTTAAAGTCACAAATATTAAAAAATTAACTTAAATTATAATTTTGTCCAATGTAAAATCTATTTAAAAGGTAAAAAAGTTAAGGAACTTCGTGCTTTTAATATAGTACTAGTTTTAGGGTACGCGCTTTGTGCGTATACCCTATCTCAATAAGTATAAAATTTTAAAATAACTATGTATATCTGACGTGCAATTATTTAGTATTATTTCTAAAATTTGATGTTGAGATAAAGAGTATAATAATTACAGATATTGAAATGATTTATTCTAATTATAATATTTATTAGAATGTTACTTATATTTTGGTACATAAACTTTCTGGAAGGAGCATTTGACTAAAGAGTAATGGACATGTTATTATATGCCCGGATAATCAAATAAAATATTTCACAAAACTTACCTCAATTTTTATTTTTTATTTTACTAATATAATTAAATTATATAAAAAATTGGCCTTAACTCTATAACCGATTATAAATCTATAATCTATCTATATTATTATAAAAGTACTAAGCCCATGCGTGAAATATTGATCAATTATTTTACTTTTAAAAAAATAGATTTTGCAATAAAATTCTTATTTAATTATTTTTTAATATTTAGGACTTGAAAATTAAATAAATTTTTCCTTATTAAATATATTTCCTAAACCCGAACAATGTAGGACTCCTAATATTTAGAACTTTAAAATCAATTAAATTTTACCTAATATAAATTTCTTATCTTGTTTGAACTATGTAATGTAACTATAATATCTTTCATGTTAAATATAAAAATACATATCTTGTTTCTTCCTTTTGAAAATCTAGAATTTTTTATATATATATACTAAGAGTTTCGTGAAAAATAATTTTACTAATATAACATATTTTAAAATTCGAAAACAATTTAATTGGATTCGTATGCTAATTAGTTCGTTCAAACACTTTATTATTTGTTTTCAATGTTGAAGAAAATAAAAAATTTATTCAATTTCTTACTATTAGCTCATCTTTTGTTTTAGTATGTTTTAAATTATTATTATTTTGAAGAAATGTTATACCTAATGTCTAGGACTTCTTTTCCGTTAATGTCGAGGATTCTTTCTATGAGATCCTAAGAAAGCACATGAGATTTTGCTCTAACCCAAAATGTCCATCATTTATAATTTGATTAAAATTATGAAAAAATCCTTTAATTTATATCCTGTTGGAATTAACATAAATAATAGAAATTTTTTACAATAGTATCGTTATACATATAGATGCAAAACTAACTAAAAACCAATTTAGCACCTACATATACTAATAAAGTAGTACTGAAAACCTCCTAATCCTAAAACTGAACGTAACTTTCATACATATACTCCTACGTATAAAGTGAGTAGAAAGTGAAGGAAACTTTATTAGTGTAAATTGAAAGCGCCTGAAATTTTAGAGTTGAAAGGAATTGAAAAAATAAATATTACAAATAGAAAGAGAATAATAAAATGACTATCCCTAAAAAGTATGAATTAATTAAATAACTATTCCTAAATAGTAGGAAATTAATTAAATGACTATTCCTAAATATTAGGAAAATAATCAAAAAGACTATTTTACCAGGGTAAACTCTATTTTTTAAGGGTAAAAAAGGCAGACGACATTTCGCTAAGGGCCTTGGTGCTTTTAATATAGTATAGAGTATAGATATAGATATAGATATAGATATAGATAGAAATAGAACTTGTTGTACAATTAGGTAACCACATTTACAAAAGTAAAAACCTAAATTATGACAGTAAAAGTAATATATTATTCTATCAGTAATATCAAGGGAAATTTCCAACCCAGAAAAGGGTACCAGAAGTTGAAGACCAACATCTCCTTTTTTCTGTTAGCTTTTAATTGAACATTGCTAGATACTAAGTGCTTGAACTAGACAAAAGAGCCAATTTCTGTTTCTGTAAGACTGAGAAGTTCAATTCAGAAACAGATGATACTGAACAAGTTAACATTCAACTGAAGAAAGAAGGGGGAAAAAGTGAGCATACATCATAAAAGTAGCTCAACTAGTTATGCTCATTGCATCTGAACCACAGCATTAAAATACAAGAAAAGGTTCTTACAGAAAAGAAAACAAATGGGATCGAACAAATTATGTAGTAACCATGTTATAGCTAAACTGTTTACCGTTCACATTACAACCAACCATGATTCTAAAGGAGTACATACGCAATTGCATTACAATCAGTGTCACTTACCAGAAAATATAGCAAAAACTTGTCCATCCAGAATTAAAATATTCAAGCATACAAAGCTGCTGGCTTGTTCGATGATCTACTAATCCCATTTTGATATGGCTTGCAGGTTGTATCCTGAGGGAAATGCAGGTATTACGGTAAAAGCAGCAAATTCTACAGTGTCCTATTATCATGCGCACCTTTTATTCTCCTATATTTGCAATTTATGAGCAAAACACGACTGAAAAATACTACCTCCAGTCCATATTATCTGTCTTCTAAGGCTTTTGCATATACAATAAGAAAGACATTTAATAACTTTAATCATAAGAATATTTAGAAATGCTTATGTAGAAGCTCTTCTTTCATCTGCAGGTATAGACTTCTTTGGATCTTATCTTAAACTATCATTTATCTCTTAAGCACCTCACTTAGTTAAATCTACACTAATTAGAATAGTAAGTGTGAATTTGGAACCAAAAAAAGTAATACATGCTTCTCGTTTTGTTTAAAGCGTCAAATATTTGTTTCTTGGGACAGGATGGAGTACTATCAAAGAAAAAAAAATGTACACAAGATGTTAATACATCTGCCTAGTCTTCATCCTGCCCCATAAGGAGGAGAAGAGGGGAACAAAGAGGGGACAAGTAGGATATTTAACAAGTTAAAAAATAAATAGGAGCATTTCAAATATCAATTTTCAAGTTCAGGTATGAAGAGCTCGCATTTTTCTTTTGTTCAAACAAAGAAAAATGCTAAAAGTTTTTTTCTATTTGGAAGCGTGTTAGGTCTAATTCCTATACTTTGGCTGAGTTATTCGTAACTGCATATTTACAATACAGGCTTAGAAGTCCAATTTTTAATTCAGATTGAGGCATAGTTGAACGGATATTGATATTATTATTTGTGAAATTTTATAGTCTACAGAGCAGAAAACACTTACCTCGCAATCCCATATGGCCCCAACACATTTGGAAAAACTAATACTAGAACTTCTAAGCATGCAACGTTCGGTAGTCTTTGGTGTACAATGGCCAGTCTCCCTATGACCTTCGACTGTATTAGCAGTGTCCAATTTCATTGGTGCACAATGGCTAGTCTCAGTTTGACCTTCGAATGTATTAGCAGCATCCAATTTCTTGACCCTAGGGGAGCTCGGGGGGCTTGGAAGGCATCTATGAGCCACAGCAGCTACAACTTGCCTTTCAAAATCACCATTCTTATCGGTTTCCTCATCTATCGAAGCACAAACTCGTTCTCTGCAGATAATTATGAGGCTATTCAGGTAAGACAAATTCATTAAACTATTTACTATATAAAACAGAAGAGAACATCAAGGATATTTCACCTGGGCAAGGAGGCATATCGTCTTGGAAAGAGAATACTTCCACCTCTACCACTGTGTCCCTCGAGATGGTCAAATTGTTGTTTGAAGCAATCAACCCCACTAAAAATGTAGTTTTTCAATTAGCTAATAATTCAATATGAAATGCAGTGCACTCACCAGAAACAGGGAGGACTTCAGAAGCAAAAGTAGGCGAATTGTTAGAAGCCTTTCAAGCAAAAGGAGAAAGCACAGGAAACCTCAGATATTTAAGTCCCGTGATTCCTGTTTTCGAGAAGGATTTAGGTCCCATGATTCTGAAGGTAAAATCAACGATTCACTTCACTATCTTTGTTAGACTTGATTAACCCTTTCCCCTAGACTAAGTGATGCGTGAACAAATTACGTGATTTGTCCATCACTCCGTTTAAGTATTAAAAGTCAGATCATGATACCAATCCCCAAAAAAATGTAGCAGCTTTACAAATGTCAGCGGACAAACATTATTGTTACCTCCAAAAGTAAAGCAATTTCCTTATCAAATTGATTGGTCTTGCCAAATGACCAGTCATCTTTGACTAAGGTATAATCACCATATTAGATCACGACTAAGATAGAATCATCATATTTACTGGTATAAATCTTTAGGAGAAATTACCGTAAAATGGTAAGCAATAGTCTTACACGGTATATTGTCGTCCTAACTGTTTCAGACTATACTCGAGTAAAGGTACAACAACTTAAGTGACAGTTTTTACATGCATACAAGGTATGCAGATATGATTAAATGACGTTGATAATAGAAAAGGGTGCTAATCTAATATGCACCCCTAATAGGAAAAGATATGTATTATTTATATGCTTTGGATCCAAGGAGTGAACGAATTTGGGATTCATTCCCAAACTTCGTGTTTCGTGAAGCTTCAAAATGCACAATCAATTTGTAGATATAGCAGTAGATGGCAGATACTATGGTAGCTGAAACTACCAATATTAAAAAATGAAAAAAATACACAGTTTCAAGCATGAATCCACGGCCTATGGCCTATATCACATGCAGACATGGAAATTCATTGGATATGTAAGGGGAATAGATCACATCTTAACCGCAATTTGCGTAAGTGATAACTCCATCAGTATCCAGTACTTTTAATTATGTGCAAGCAGTATTCTAATAACTTCATTTTACTCCAATGACATTATTATCCATTCATTCAACACACTGAATATTTTTCTATCACAAGCCACAATTATTCTATAAGTCCATTACGTCTACCGATCAAAATAAAAAGTCAACACGTGTGTTGAATGATATCAGAAACTAGAAACACTTGTAACTCTCATTAGCAGCAGATTTCTCCTTTCGTATCACCATGAAGTATCCATTACAGATATATTAGATTATATGCGTCAAGCATCAGATGGAAATGAAGTGCCAATGTAAGAAAAATATGTTAAGTTTGTAAATGAAGAATAAATTTTGTATGAGAACATTAGTACGCAATGATGTAGACTGAAGGATATGAAAGTAGAATCATTGACAGAGGTCTATGACTTCGACTACTATAGGGCTGCCAGTCCTCATCCTAAAAGGTTCAACTAAGTATTTATTGGAAGAACAATACACGGATCATGAATTTCTCGTTAATGTATGATAGCATACAGGTGTTTTTTTNGCGCAGTTGAGAACAATGCACACTGTAAGTAGTAGAACAAAGTGCAAAATGAAGGTCAAGAGAGGATGAGATTGGTTGTTAAGGCACATACCTCCCGGTAGATGAGCTCTCTAATATCCTCTTTTCCAAGTTTTCTTCGATCAAAGTCGAATTCAAATTTTGAAATAGTCTGCGATGATGGTTCCTGTTCCTTGTTTGCCAAACCACGGAAATATGGATGTGCTAGCGCCTGAGGGGATTAATGAATTGCTAGTATTAGTACAAGATAAGTTATATTACAAACTAAAAACAAATGCCTAATGACACTGTTACATCCTACCTCTTCAGCAGAAGGGCGATCTTTGGGATCGAATGCAATCAAACGCTCAAGTAACCTTAGAGCTAGTGGATCAATGTGCGGGAATTTCTCTGACAGAGAAATAGGTGCCTTCCTCTTCATGCTGCTTAAATATCTCCTTGCCTTTTCATTTTTAATCTGCAGATATCAGGAAAATTGGAAACAAGATATATTCAAGATTTGTTACTAGATAATATGTTTATCAATTGTAACAGATGGATAGAAAGAACAAACCCTTGAAATGGCTTCAGTCGACGGCGAACCAAGCAAATCAGTTATGACATCCAATTGGTGAACCGCATTCTTTCCCGGAAATAATGGTTTTCCTGTAAGCATTTCTGCAAATATACATCCTAGACTCCAGATATCAACTGCTGGGGTGTACTGCAATTAAGCCTTTTGTTTTAGAATTTGTACAAATTTCTGAAGATCATTTGCATAATAAAGTTACCACAAGTGAGACACACTGATGGCGTACACACCATCTCCTTAGGCATATGCTAAGTTCAGATTAGAGTACCAAACCTAATGCTCATTGGCACAGTCTAACTTTATTAAGCAGAAGTTTATCTAACATTCTTGCACTTCTCTTTTTTCCACTTATGACAAGGATACCATAGAAACTGAAAACTGTTGAAAACTCATCCAAGATTAGGAGAAAAAGTCCTTGAAGGTTCATGGAATATGCACAGTAGCAAGCTCCAACCCCCNTTCTGCTCAAATATCGGGCATTCATTAAATCGTGTCAAGTGTGCCATCTCACTAGTACAGTTTTCATAAAACTAATCTTCTCCCTTTGCCCGTAAGGACAAACTTCTCAAAAACACAGAAAAGCATATAAGAGAGGATATTTTTACTCCAATCTCCCAAGGTCAAACTTTCCAATGAGCCTAGCTTCCTATTTCCCCTCTCCCTACATTGACAAAATTTCTGTTTTGGGAGATCCCAAAATTTTGACACACTTAAATTAATAGTGTTACTGTATGATTGTTATTTCTTTCAATGATGTGATATTTTCCATCGGACTACTATGTCCTTAAATGAGCAAAAACAACAAGTAGAAACAGGGAACTTCACTGCCAACTATGTACAAATATTCAATTTAGAACCCAGTTATTAGCACTTGAAGTCATCGTTCTAAAATCCAAAACCCATAAAGTTAAAACCCTGGCTCCACCTCTGGTCTTGCATCCCCCATCAGTTTACAGAAAAGATAAAAATGAACAGAATAGAACTACTTACTTGCTATTCTGAGGTGAATGAAAAAAGAAACGAGAGAGGATATCTTTCTTCATAATCAGGGAGTTACAGCCGTACATCTACTGTTATGAGCTATAAAATATATATCATTTTGGAATTGAAGAGGATGACGCTAGTACTCGAGATCAAATTGTTGAGACAGCATCCAAAATACCGTTCTTGAGTTCTTTGTCAAGGGAAGACAGAGTATCTTTATAAACATCAAGTGGTGAGCAGTTTCTCAACAGCAGTTACAAATCAAAAGTGGCCCACGCTATGGTAAAGGACAGGGAGATTAGATGTATACTTATTCCTTAACGATAGACATTTCTTTTTTTTTATGAAGCTTAACGATAGACATTTCTCTGCAACAAGCAATTGCTATATCACAAGATTTTTAGGTAACATCTTTTTTGCTTAGAGAACATAAAATCAAGTATAACATCAGAAAATAGAGCAAGAGGAAGCATGGGATAAAAGTAATTTTCCCTAAGCAGTTGAAAAGGATTTCTACAATGGTATGACATCTTGATGCATCAATTTCAAATATTAGCTGATCACTCACTCTCAAACTGACTTGATATAGAGCACACACTTAAAAATGAAGATTGCAAACAAGAAATGAGGAAGCTAAAGAACAATGACACTAATTCATTAGATGAACGAATATTGAAAAGTAAAATCCCATGCTAACTAAAGAAGTTTCACAATATGAAATTCAAGTTTCCAATTTTAACATGAGAGCACGCACCTGAACATTACAAGCAATAGATGAGAACAGAGTGAGAACTAAATGTATACAAACATGCATATTTACCTGTATAAAATCATACTTACTTTGGAGAAAAAGGAACCACAAAGTTCTGGAGCACGATACCAACGAGTTGCCACGTAGTCCTTTAGAGAAAAAGCATGAAGCATTTTACTTGGAATTACAGGGGTAACAAATTAACAACTTAAAGAATTATGTTAGTATATAATTTTCCATACTATAGTGAAGTACTGAATAGAAGAGAGAAGACCATTTCATCTTTGAAAGCACAAAGAATCAGGCATCAATCGCAGGTATACTAACGTAACACTTCACGTTCACTGACAGCCTTGAGATATTTTTAGTGGCTATTTGTAATAAAGATAGACCAAGAAAAATTTAGAAGTAGAGAGATGAAGCATACAGTCCAGAAAACAGCAGATGGGGTATCGCCAAGTGATACCCGAGCAAGCCCAAAATCACAAATTTTCAGCTTGCAATCTGCATTTGCTAGAATGTTCTTTGGCTTCAAATCTCGATGGAACACGTTTGCTGTTAAATCAACAAATGTGAGAATGAGTCATCATAATGTATGTAAAAACAGAAAAGGTCTTCAATTTACCAGAAAACAGAAAGAGAAAATCGCAACCTGTATGCATATACTTTAAACCTCGAAGAAGCTGATACATAAAGAATTGATAATGTTCAGGAGTGAGACTGTCATTTGCTTTAATTACATGTTGAAGGTCACATTCCATCAACTCAAAGACAACATATATATCCTTGAATTCCCTCGGACATGGAGGCAACAATATATGCTTTATTTCTACAATATCTGGATGCCGAAGCAACCGAAGTAGCTTTATTTCTCTAAGGATGCGGGTGGCTTCCGAAGCATGCTCAAAAACATCATTAATCTTCTTTATTGCTACCTTTTCTCCGGTATGAGTATCAATTGCTGCTGCAACAACGCCATAGCTTCCCTTTCCAACAACCTCTTGGATTTCATATTGATGGGCTTCACCATATTCAGTGAAGAATTCTTTGAAATCCATCACCTGCAGATTTATGAGATACTATTAGAATCTATGTGCTCGGACTCGGGTCGAGTATCCAATACGGGTGCAGATGTAGAAGTCGGATCCTTCATGGCTTAAATTTTAAGATTCGAGGTACGGGTGCAGGGATTCGGCTAAAAATTATTCAAATATCTAAAAATAGAGTTATAAAAATATGTCAAAGTTATGGGGCATTAGGGGAAAAACTTACAAGATATTCGGAGAAGAAGAAAATATTGATTAAGAGGAGAATCCGAGAAGGAGATAAAAGAAAAAGGATTGACAAAAAAATTTCTATATACAAGCTGTTCCATCTACTTCACTTTCACTGCAGCTTTTGTTTTGATTTGAGAAATCATTTTATATCTCCGGAATTTCTCCATCAATTTTGGTCAAAGTACCATAAATCAGTTGACCAGTTCCAGTACGGATCCTACACCCACACCCATTGTTGTGTCGACACAGGTGAGTAACTTAGATTAGAATTCCTCTTTAGACAAACTGGCAAGGTCCATAAAAGATGCAGAAGGATATCAATATCCCACATTTTTTGAATAACTTTAAAATATAAATCTGGAGTGAAATCTTCTCTTTTCCTCTTGCAACTATGGTCTAAATGCCAAGCTCTATCCCGCACATTAAACAACATATTCCAGTGCAACAAATATAATTTTACTGAACATTCTTAACACTGTGTCACAAAAAGTACATGAAACAGATAGAAGTTAAGGATATGACATGGATCCTAAGTATATATAGGTTAAATATTACTTTTTACACAAATATATTAATTCTTAAACACTCTTAGGGGAATTACTCGCTTCAACCCCCCAAGGTTCTCTAGGGTGGTCAGTCGAACACCCTTCGCCGGAATACTATACTATGCATATATATGTCAAATATTACTTTTTACACAAATATATTAAATCTTGAACGCCCTCAGGGGAATTGCTCGCTTTACCACCCCCACCCCCCAACCAACTATGAAAAAGAAAGATAAATTAAATGATGACGAAGAAGAATAAGAAAATTTACCATTTTTTTGGTACTTAGACTTGTAAAGAAGATGGATGCTGTTTAAACCACTTTCAAGACCTGCAATGCATCAAATGAAATTAGAACTAAATAACAATTAAGTACTCCAGTTGCTAATTACTCACTGATTAAAAACCCTGAGTACAACAACAACAACAACAACAACAACAACAACAACAACAACAACAACAACAACAACAACAACAACAACAACAACAACAACAACAACGACAACAACAACAAAGTGTAATCCCAGTAACAACAACAACAACAAAGTGTAATCCCACAAGTGAAGTTTGGGGAGGGTAGGATATACGCCGCATTACCCCGCCTTAGCCCTATCCTGGAAGGGCAGAGAGACTGTTTCCGATAGAAACTCGGCTAAGTACTAATACAACAGATATCTCTAAATATCAGCTAATTAATCTTTTTAATGAGCAAAAACGCCAACCATAAACATTCATATTCTATTCAACCACATTCCAAATATTCAGAGTATAGTCAACAAGAAAATAAAACTAGAATCATGAATCAAAGAATACCTCTATAAATCATCCAACTGCATACAAAATGAACAAGTAATTCTAATGTAAAAAACTATATATAAAAACACAACAAAATTAACAAGCAAAAACAAACAAAAGATTAGATCTTGAATGAAAGAATTCACCTCAATAATGGGTCTCTAAAGAGAGGGAAAACAGCTTATTAATTTGATACTCCTTTTCCAAGTTCCAAGCTTTAAGGGATTGACAATTATTATATATGTATTACTTATAATTCCAGGAAAAGGTACAAAGTCTCCAGAAATGAACAGGTAAAACCAACCCCAGTTGAAAACGCTTTATATTTATGGCAAGTTGATTAAATATAATAAAAATAAAAGTTGAAGAAAAAGCCAAGATTGAATATGTCAGCTGTCTTTATCAAAAATCTTTCCCACTAGCTGTTTTTTTTAAAGAAAATAAATAAAGAAATGGGCTTTAGAGTGGGGACAGAGATGTTTAGATTTAAATAAATAAGAAAAACATAGGGAGAAATAAACAACGAAATGGGCGTACATACATCGTTCGCCATCCAATCCAGCATATAAATACGTAGTGATGTTTTGGTTGAACGGATAAAGGATATAACTTCCGTAATAAAATACGTATTAATTTTAGAATTATTTATACGATAAGAGGTCGTTTGATTCAATTGTGGGATAGACAAAGTTATCCTGAGAATATTTCATGGATTAGCTATTTTACATTCTATATGGGATAAGCTAATCCACCAGTTTTGTATAAAAAAGTTTCTACCATTAGTTAATACCCATAACTAAATACTAGATAAGTATAATCTCATATTTTACCCCATAATTCTTGTCCCGTAACCAAATGATCCTTAATTGAGGTATTGTTTTTATAAGATGTTCAATGTGAGATAATATTTTGGAATTATTAATTTCGAGATAAAACACTAAAATGACAAAGACGCTCTTTTCGAAAACTCTTATGTTAAAGTTTTTCAAGAGAGTCAAGGTTAAAATTAAAATGTAGAATTATCCTAATTTATGAAGAAAAAAATGCCCATTTTATATTATAGATCGTGTGTCTTATTTTTAGTCAATAAAATAGGTGAGAATCATAAGCTCTTACGTTCAAATTCCAGCAAAAGCAAAAAATATTACTCCCTCCGATTCACAATAAGTGATTTTTTGGTTATTTTCACGCAGATTAAAAAATTCACCTTTTAACATTAATTAGCAATGAAATTGACCATAATAACCTTTTTATCTCTTCACATAAACACTCCTAACACATACTTCAATACTATTTACTCTAAAGGCAATGTAGAAAAAAAATAATTAATTCATTCTTAAAATCTAGAAAAATCGCTTATTTTGGACCACAAAAAAAAGGCGAAAAAATCACTCATTGTGGACCGGAGGGAGTAGGTTATTTCTTTTCATCTGTTTAAGTCTTGGTGGATAAAGTTATCTTGTATCTGTTAATGGTGGGACGCGACAGGTATGCCGAGGAATTAGTCAAGGTACGAACACCACGGTTATTAAAAAAGTAATAAAATTAGATCTATTAATTAATTTTATTTTTACATATTAAAATTTGGACAATTTAAATTTAGTAGTTATAATTTATTACAAACCAAACGATCCGGGTGCACCTATATTTTTATTTATAAAAAAAAAAAATCGAATAAAATAAATAGAAATGGAGAATTGATGAATAATGAAAGAGTAGGATCCGATGCAGAGCTTAAACTACAGGACAAGAGTTGTAAATTGAATGCGTAAACAGTGGAACGTCCGACACCTTAAATTGCGAGCCTTATCTTATCTTCCCCCTTTTTTTTCCTGACAACTTGTCTGTGTCCTTCAGTTTAAGCAAGTTAACTGACCTAAGCTTAAGCTCCTTCAGTTTCAGTTTCAGAATCAGAATAATATAAGGAAGGAAGGATAGAGGAAAGTCTGATAAATTCTTAAGAATAACGCGTCAAATACTTTTAATATTAATAACCTATAGAATAGGCAGATCATCCGCAGCCATTACTGTGATATGCAAGTTGTTATGATGATTAATCATTTGCTCTTCAAACCACAGGATCCAACTTGCTTAATAATTTAAGTTTTATGCACTTAAAAAATATTTAGTCAATCACATTAATTACACATCAATAACAACATATTTTTCCTTATAACCATTTGGTATTCGAAAATTATCGGCTCGCCTAATTAAAATTCGTGCTGCGTAAGATTCATAAGAGGTAAAGTTCCCTACTGAGGGTTCTTCATTTTTAGATTAAAAGTTTCATAAGTCACCCTATTTGGTCACCCTCATTTACCTTGTATCAACTTTAAAAAAAAATTAACTGATATTTAATTTTTTGGTAACTTCATATACATACTCTTTTCTCTTCTTCTTAATTTGCAACACATCAATGCATGCTTAGGGTTTCTCTTTCTTCTCCTTCTTAGTTTGCAAAATATCATTGTAGGTTATGCTTAAGATTTCTTCTTCTTCTTCATAGTTCCAAAATAAGTTTATTATATTTATTGTTGTTTTGATAATTTGATTATTGGGGTTCGTTTTTTATGGTATTTAAAAGTTATATTTCAAATTTAAGCTTATTTAGAGTTGATTTGGACATTGAATCGTGTGTTGAATTATTGAAATTCGAAGAACAAGTTTATGTTTGTGATGACCCGATAGGTCATCTAGAATTTTAAACCCTAATTCGTATTTCGAAACCTCAAATACCTCATTTTAGCCTTCCTCAATTTGCATTCACAGTCCTGGTGTTTTCTCGGAAAGCTTTTATGTTAAAAACTGATAAAATATGAAATTTTCCTTTAAAATTCATGAGTTGACTTCGGTCAACGTTTTGAGCAAACGGACCCAAATCTGTGTGTTGATGGTCCCGGTGGGTCCGTATCATGATTTGGGACTAGGGCGTATGCCCGGAATCGAATTCGGAGGTCCCTAGCTCGAGTTATCACTTTTTGTCGAAATTTAAAAGTTTAAAGGCTTAATGAATCTAAAAGTGTGACGACCCTGCCATTTTCTCATGAGTTACCGCTCCGTTTTTTCCATTTCTGCTTCTTTATGCTTTGTTTATCCGTGTTATGTGGTCTCGGGTTGGTCGGATCGAATCCGGAATGATTTTGGTAATGTTTGAGACACTTAGTCTCTTTTGAGGAAGCTTAAGTTGGAAAAGTCAACCGGATGTTGACTTATGTGTTAGAGGGCTCGGATGTGAGTTCTGATGGTTCGGATAGCTTCGGGAGGTGATTTAAGACTTAGGAGCGCGATCGGAATGAGTTTTTGAGGTTCGGAGTAGATTTAGGCTTGAATTGGCGAAGTTGATATTTTGGCGATTTTCAGTTGGTAGGAGAGATTTTTATATAGGGGTCGGAATGGAATTCCGAGAGTTGCAATAGTTTCGTTGTGTCATTTGAGACGTGTGTGCAAAATTTTAGGTCTTTCGGACGTGGTTTGGTTGGGGTTTTGATCAAAAGTGGAATTCGGAAGATTTTGGAAACTTAGGCTTGAATCTGATGTGTTTTGATTGATTTGATGTTGTTTGAGGCGTTTGGAAGATTGGTACAAGTTTGAATAAGGTTTTGGGATATATTGGTGCCTTTGGTTGAGGCCCCGGGGGCCTCGGGGTGATTTCGGATGGTTGATAGGGAGTTTGAAACTTTGTTGCAGCTGCTGAATTTGCTGCTTCTAGTATTTCTACACCTGCGGATTGGGGACCGCAGGTGCAATAAGGGAGGTTGCAGAAGCGAAAATGCCTGGGAAGTCAGGGACCGCAGATGCGGTTGATGGACCGCACCTGCGAAGGCTCAGGTGCGTAATATTAATCGCGGGAGCGGTTTTGACCGTTAAGTGAAGAACCGCAGAAGCGGTTAGTTGGCTGCATATGCGGTACCGCAGAAGCGGTGAATAGAGCCGCAGATGCAAAAATGCCCAGGCATAAGGTATAAATTGTGGCCTTCGCGAATTTTAGCTAATTTCACAATTTTTATCTCGGCTTTGGAGCTTTTGGGACGATTTGAAAGAGGGATTCCAAAGGAACTTCATTGAGGTAAGGAATTTGGACCTAAAACTCGTTCCGATGCCATTATTTCACGGATTAGAGCTAGAAATTATGGAAATTAAGGGTGAAAATTTGGGGAAAACTAGGGCTTTGAAACTTAGACCTTTGCTTGAGGATTTGAAGGACCATTTGAGGTCGGATTTCAGAACTTTTGATATGTATGAACTCGTGAGGAGATGAGGAATCTATTGATGTAAAAATTATCGAATTCTGAGACGTGGGACCGGGGGTCGGGTTTTGGTAATTTCGGGATTTTTGGTATTTTTTGATTGTTTTCGCTTGTGCTTCGTTCTCTTAGCATATTTTGACGCGTGATTCTGATTTTGGATAGATTCGATGCGAGTGGAGGCCGATTCGAGGGGCAAAGGCGTCGCAGAGTAGTATTTTCACTGGTTTGAGGTAAGTAACCATTGTAAATCTGGAACTGAGGGTACAAACCTCGGTATTTGACTTGTTTTTTATAAATGCGGTGACGCACATGCTAGGTGACGAGCGTGTGGGCGTGCACCGGTAGGGATTGTGACTTGGTGCGTCCCGTAGCGGCTATTAAGCCGCGTATTTGATTTGAAACCTTATGATATTCCGTACTTTAGCTATTTATACTATATTATAGGCTATATGCCATGTTTGGGGCCTTGTGCTGACCTGTTGAGACCCTTAGGGGCATTTTTACTGTTTTCCTCACTCTACTTATTGAAAGCATATCCTCAGTCATGTTTTACTTGTTTAAATGTTTAAAATTGGTTTTATCACTCCACTTCTAATTGTGAGGACTGTTTGGGCTGAGTTCCCTAATTTCTATTGTTGTGCCCGAGAGGCTGTGAGGTTAATGACTGAGAGAGGTTGAGAACCTAATAGTGAGGTTATTATATGTATATATTATGGATCGGGCTGCATGCCGCAGTGATATATAAATTGGATCGGGCTGCATGCCGCACGATATATATATTGGATCAGGTTGCGCGCCGCAGCAATATGATGCTTGGGCTGTAGGAGCCCCTCCGGAGTTTGTACATCCCCAGTGAGCGTAGTCGACTATAAATTACGGATCGGACTGCACGCCGCAGTGGTTACTATGATTTCTATTATTATGAGATATTAATGCGCCTGAGTGCTGAGAGTGAGTACTGAGTGACGAGAGTGAGTCACGAGTGACTGAGAGGCTGCCCGAGAGGCCATGTTCTGAGTGATACCTTGCCCGAGGGGCCCACTTATGATATTTTCAATGATTTCG